ATATATATATGAAAATATTCCTTTCGCTCAACATGTGTAGTATGTGACTGTAGAGGTTTTTTTATTCCTTTACGTTCCTAGTGGAACATAAGGCTTCAAGCTAGAGGCTTGAGGTTTTGGTGGCAATGCTTGTTTCTTTTTTATGGCATGGGGTTGCTAGCCTCATGCACAACCTTTCCTCTTCACCATTCTTATTAGTGGCTTAGCGAGGTAAAGGATTGTGTCGGCCGGGGGCCGAACCCCGGACTACCTGCCCAATCGGCGAGCATCTTACTGCTATACCACTAATGCACTGTAGAGGTAGACGACGAAATTTATGACCCACCTGCTTTAACTCTTTATGTGTTGGCAAGATGTGGTTTATTCAGGAGACATATGCTAATTTACAGAAGGTTCAAGTGAATTTGAACGAAAAAAAACATAAGTTGTAGAAAGATTTGAACCCATGAACTTTCGTTTACTGGCCACACACTTAACTGACTTAGCCATGAGTACAAACTACTGAGAATAACTTAACTATACTAAGGATTTAAGGTAATAACTAACTGATTTAGTGATACGCAAGTCTACTACACATCATATCAGTTTCCTAGGTGTACGAATCCTAGTTGCACAAAATAAGGCAGGATAAGTTTTTGACAGAACAGTAAGAAGACGTAATTTATCTGAAAAGTGTGATGTATTTATGCACATAAATGTGCTTCTGATAGGTTAAACGTCTCAGATCAAATATATTTTCTTCTTATTTTGTCAAAATTCATAAGGTGAACTAATTGCTTTAAAGATAAGCCTTGTAATACACTTTCATGACACACTATGAAGCCATCCAAGTTGAACAGATTAATTTTAATAAGACAGAGTGGTGAATAAACTTTAAGAGAAATACTGGAGATCACCATAAAATGCGATGGTATTTCCAAAACTCACTTATAAGTTACCATGTAGTTGGCAATGAGCCAGACCTTTAATTGTGAGGGTTACTTACGCTAACTAGTGGCTGAAAACCGAATCGGTGGCTAGACCAATGCTCCGCAGCTCCACTGAAGATCACTGAAACGCATATTGTGACGAATCAGGTTTAATTTTTGAGTTTTTTAATTCAATGACACATAAGTTCTTTAGGCTGCTCATGATTTTCGAAACGTTGTAAAAAGTCGTTTATGCTATTTCTTATCGGTTTGATTGTCTATCGTTATACTCTAGTAAAGAGTGGTGTGCATGAGTAAGTAATCTCATATAGGCGCGAATTCTAATTTACAATGATTCTTTTTGCTTCATAAAGTAGACCGTGATTACCACTATACAATCGATCGATTAACGAGCTCATTAAATGCATCTTTTTCTTATAATCATTTATTAACTTGCTTTTTCTATAAAACACTATTCATGAAAATAACTTGGATCAATATTTGGTTGGTTGTTCTTTCAACTTCACAAAAAATCAACTTTACTGTCTGGAATGATAAAGATAAACCGGTCAACTTGGTTGATATGCGTAAATCAGCATTTTAGTATGTTCATTACTAACTAGATGGCTTAGAAATACTTTGGTTTTTATAATATCATTTATTCTAGTTAAGTATACTTTGTGTCCTTTACACATAGTTGTAGGTGGGTGTAAAGTCGACATAAGTTCAAAATTCCATCTTTATTGAAGAGTATCAATTAGGAATTACTGCTAGTTTGTGCCAGTACTAAACATTGTTCAGACAATGTTATTTTGCAGCACGATGAAGTACTGCAATGAAAGGTGATAGTGCAGACAATGCCTGTCTCAGAGGAGAACATTGATATTTCTGTGTAGAAAGTAATACAGTTGTGTGTTCTCTGAGATGTTGGTGGAAAGTGTTAGTTATAATGTTGTTCAAAAATTTGAATAGCTCCATTCTTAATGTATAATTTGTCCGCCTATGATTTCAACACATAGATTTGCTTTCATTTGTTGTGATATGCGTGTAGTAGTGGAATGAATCTGCATGATGCTAAAGACTGAGGGTTGTAAGTGATGATTCGTTGAACACCCTTCACATCAACCAGTAGTACTTGCTTGCCGGGCTAAAGTGATCCAAAGGAATGCATGATGAGATTTCATCTTGAACTGTGTAAATTATCAGTATTATCAATTCATTCAAATAGCTAGACAGAAATCGGGTAGTTTGAAGTGATGCGGCTCTCCCAGCTCAACTAAACCGAGTACACTGCTGATGAAATCGACCAGTAACTAGCGAAAAGACTATCCGGTGTGTAGATCATTTTCATCTGGCTAGCAGGTACTACTAGTTGATGTAAGTAGTGCCCAACTACTCGTGTCTATCAGTCAGTAGTATATACCGTCATGCATCTATGCTTGATTTCTTGCTTGTCATATGGCGTATCAAGCAGGTCACATATGGTCATCTGAATAATTCCGATTTCCAAAGGAAATTGTTGTGAAATTTCACCTCAAACTTTGTAAAGTACAATGACTTCACTTTCTTCAACAGTTGATTTTTTTAAGGTTTGATCACGGGTTGACATTAGTTAGAAAAACATTGGAAAACTAGGGAATACTGGACAGCTGTTTCGTCCCGGTTTGGGACTCTTCAGTATTTGTGCACCCACTCGGGTTCCACTCCAAAGGCACTCTCATAGACCACTCAGACACTGGGATCCGCTCTAATGGACACTCCATGAATTCCAGCTCCTACTAATTCGTGATTACATCGTGACTGGCACCAGCCAATATCGACGGCGAGTATATGGAACATTGTGAAAATGGTCATAAGGGATTCGACTGATACGGTATACATAATATATATATATATATGACAATAATCAATAACGGTAGCGATCCCTTTTCTTTATAACTGCTTTAAAAAATGTATATTATAATTTATTCCATTAACAAAACTGAAAAAAAAACAAGTGAAAAAATAAGACAAAACAACCACAAACATTCACCAGAAATTGAAATCAATCACTTCAAGTGTTAATTGATCCAATAACTGTAAGTGTAAAGGAAACATTAACAATAATATTAACGAACAGTACATGTAATATACGGTTAATATATATATATCCATATATGGTCAGTTTATAATAGAGAATATGGGAGAATAAATACAAGAAATACAAGGAGTTTTATTTCGTCAAGTTTACTTCGACATACGGTATGAAGAAAATTTAAGAAGAGACTAGTGAGTGCGTGAATGAGTGATAGGCAAACAGGTAGTAGGTATTATATAATTTCACATCCTGTATGATGTTTAGAAATATATAGTTGAAAGAATATGTTAGATACTACTTTATTACTTTACAGACAGTACATGTATTCACCTAAACATCGTTATCGTTATCATCATCATTATTTTATTTAGAAAGAAGGTTGACTTAGTAACAGGTATTCATGTTAAACGGATTGTTCTGTTCAGCTTAAAATGCATTATTTGACTTGTACACAATTGATTAGATAATTTTACTTTTCCACTTGTTCATGTTCACTTCTAGTTATCCTGCTATTATTTTAATTTAATTTAAGAAAATGTAACCTATAAAAAGAAAATTGAGTTTCTTTTGATTTTTAAACACTCATTTGTCCATTCCTCCGTTTGTTTTCCGTGTCTTCTACTTGATTTTAGGTTGTTACACTTTTAAAAATAAATTGTTGTAGCTTTCAGATAAGAATGAAGAAACACTATCACTGTGTGTAACATTAATTCCATGCACTCTTCAGGTGGGCACTGATATGATAAAATGACAACAGGAGAAACAATGAGAAGTAATACGAATATCTATATATATATATATATACCCTAGAATAAGATGTTCTAGAATAAAAGTTACGTGAAAAAATTGTTTTTTTTGTTTTTCGTTTGCTGTTTAAAAACGTCAACACAGTAAGTCAGTTAAAAAAATATTATGAAATATATAAAGAATATTTAACACAGAAAAAAAAAGTGATACCCCTATAGATGCACCGTGTTTACTAGGGCATAGAACAACCTTTAAGATAAAAGGCAAAAGAAAAGAAAAAAACAATAGCAAAGAGAGATAACAGAGTGTGGATCACCTCGTTAGACTCTTGAGGGGTTCGTATAGGTCGCTGTGATGGCCATTGATCATGATGATATTGATGTGATCGATGAAATGAAGATAATACTATGTGTAGTAATAATGCTTCCAATGAGGAGGATACTGACGACGACAACAATAAAGAATATGAGGGAAAAAATGAACAGATGAGAGAAAAAATGTCATAAAATATAAGTTGTTTGTAGGCATGGAAGATAAAACTCCACTGTAGTATGCAAGCAAGACGAATGAAAGAACGCTGGTGTATAAACATTTATGGTATATTTCCATAGTCGCCTGTGTTCGTTTAACAAGTGTTTTGTATGATGGAGAATGAATGGTATATTATTTGTGTGTTCTTTAAACACTTTTATATATATAATGGCTGTAAATTGAAGAACTAACATTATATATCATCCTAAATTCAGGCATATTTCATCAACAAGTTATATTCGCGCCTTGACAGTTCTCCATGTTATAATGTTTACTCAACTAGTACAGATCGATTGAGAGGAACAAGGGTACCGTAAAGAAAGTCGGAGAACGAAAGAGTTAAGCATCAAAAGATATTTAGTTAATAAATACCTAGAATAGTGTGAAGAAAGAAGATAAGGATTGCAGCAAAATACATAGGTGTAATTGTTAACTAAGAAGAATTGCGTGTGAATACTTCAAATGTTTTATACACTTGATGTATACTGCTAAGTAATTCTGGTTTATTTATAGAGAGGAGAGAAGTGAAGACAATGAAAGAAGTTTGGTATTAGTATACAACTACTAAGGCAGGAAAGCATTTCAACTTGAAGACAAGATAACAAATAAGAAAAAAAGGAAAATGACAACATTATTAAAAAAAAAGTTCGTAGACGCAAATAAATGAACTAACAAAACCGTAGAACCTATTGAAAGGTGTTTGATTCTTTGTTTTTTGTTTTATTTTCACCTTAGACTTAGACTGCACTGGATTGTGAGGTTTGTGAATTTTGTCCACTGTTAGTCTGTGTAGTGGGTAGACTTCCATTCAGTACTGAAACTGGATTTCCATACGACTGATTTAATAAATTCATAATAGAGGTTGTCTGTGAAGTTGAATTTACAGTAGATTGTGACTGTAATGGCATGGATGCTGAAATACCAGTCATCTGTAATCCTAGAGTGTACAAGCCATTTGGTTGTGGTACAGAGTTCAATGACTGTCCAATAGTAGAAGAAGAACAGTTTTGTCCTAATTCACTACCACCATAGTTAGTTAGAGACTGTTGTAATCCAATAATCTGTGGTATTGCTGCTGTAGTAGAACCTAATCCATTTGCTCCCATCAGCATAGCTGCAGCAGCGGTAGCTGTTATGGAATTCGGATCAAAGTAATAGGCTGGTTGATTACCGAATGCTGTATTAATAATTCCGGTATTTCCTAGCGAGCTAGCTGCTATAAGTTGTGAGGAGTAGTCAAATCCATTTGTCAATAATGCTCCAGCAGAACATTCACTTGGTAGGTGAACATTGTTATTATGATTATTTGTTAAACTGCCAGTCACTGTTGACAGTCCACTGTTATTTATTGGGAAATTTGAAGTACCAGATAACTGTAGAATATTTGTTTGAGATTGCAACAGGTTAAGTGGAGTGGATGTATTAGGCAAATTGTTTGATAACTGCATTGGCACAAATGCTGTATTTGAGTGTATTATACTTGGATTGATAGGCAGAGCATAACTTGCTGCAAGTGCTATTTAGTATAATGAAAACAAAGCAGAAAGGGAGAGTAAGATTTAAATTTTGCAAAAACAACTTATGCTAATAAATAAACACAATTCTATCAAAACTGAAACTAACGTGTTAACGTTTTGAAAAATTAAAACAAACATTGAACTTCAAAAACGGTATGAAAGTATTTTTGATCTTGTTTTTTTTTACCAGAACATGAATTATTTCCATTCTGAGTCGGTAAATTACTCAGATTATTTGCTGGAAACGACTTGAAATTTGAAATATGTGGAGTTAACTGAGGATAAGTGGAACTTGTTTGAGAAAGATATGGCTGATTAGCATAGTTTAGATATGAAGTTGGATAAAACAAGTGTGTTGAACCTAATGATGAAGATAGATTGACTGAATGTATCGGAATCATAGAACATGAAGGGCTATAAAGAAAACTGTAAGGCCGCGAGTTTGTCACTGACTTCATACTGGAAGAAATAGAAGTGTTTAATTCACAATTATTAGAATTTGGAGCAGAAGAAAGTACGTAAGATGTGTTCACCTCATAAGTTCCTGCTAGGCTATGAGATGTACAGGTTAGAGAGAAACTATTACTAGCTGTAGAAATAGATGGATTGCAAGCGTTAAACTGACTGTCATAATTAAGTATCTGCTGTTGACGTGTAGATGATGGCATTGTTTGTTGTACAGGTGGTTGTACGAGGGCAACACCACCAATTCCACTATTAGGAACTGTCATAACACTGTTAGAAGACTGACCTAGAACAATACAAGACAATGAAACAAATAAATCTTAAATTAATACGAATCAGCAAAACTGTAGAAGTTTGAAGGCTTTAAATTTTTTGTGGTAAAGTATTTTGAATCGACCAGTGAAGGTTTTCCTGTTACTCTGATATAAATCATAATAGTATTTAAGTGAAATTTGACACTCTTAATAGAGTTTAAAAATTTTATCCTTCTGAAGAAACCACCAGTTAAATATACTACTGGCCAGAAAGTTTAAGCAACAAGAAACTCTGGGTAAGAGCCGGTCAAGAATATATTGTCTAACGATTATTTAGGAGGAAATGGAGATGCTGAAGAGTTCACTGTGTGAGATCACACTCAAGATCCTCGAGTGGAACCCGAATGGAAACCGACCACTTGAGAGTCATAGGATGACACTGAGTAGATCATGTAAAGAGGAAACTGGAGCCTGTGAACAGTCATGGAATCGCCTAGAAAGGACTGCAGAGAAGAGAGCGGAATGGAGATGTGCTTTTGAAGCCGTATGTTCCACTCCGAATTCAAGGGACGAATAATACTTAACTTCTAAATATGTTTGTAAATTCTTACTTACTACTCATAAGTAGATTAGTAGATATATTAAAATAATTTAGTATGAATTTTCAAATAGTACAGTAGTGAAAAAAATAAGCATGATGGTTCAAAGTGATTGACTATATGCTGTCAGGTAATACGAAATCTTTTTTCAAGAGAAAAGTATATGTAACATGTGCATGCGAACTCCATTGTTGTCACAGCCGAAAAAGCGCATAATATTAATCGATTGTTCAAATCAAGCTGACATTGTCACTGTCAAATAGTCGAATCTCATACCAACAACCAATGTTAGTTAGTGACTCACCATCGTAGTGTATTTTTATGTTATGTTATAGGCAGGGAGTAACACTTCTTTGAGGATGGATATATGCCTTGCCAAAGAGTACCAAGCAACAAGAAAAACTCAGATCCAGGGTTTCCTGGGGACTGTCTCAACTATCCAATATTAATAAATTTATAGAATACAACCGGAATTTATAGGCCATATTGGCGTTACCTGGCTTCTTTAGGTCTCTTACACATATCTCAGATGATCTGTTACTCTGTAACATCAAGTAACTGATTTGTAAAATAACTAATTTTTGTAATTTTGAGTTACATAACCTGAAGTTGCTCTGACGGTGAATCACGTTCTCACTGTTGACGAGTTACTAATGAAGTTAAGGTTTGATTTATAAACAGAAATGAACCTCTTAGTATTCAGTGAGATCCTAGAAAACATATAAGTAATCTGGTTAGTAATCTGACAAGTGTCTATCAATATTCATACTAGTTGGACAATATTCTGTATAAAGTGTGCTATAATCCAAATGTCAACACCTCTGACTTCAAGTGAATACTTAATGTGTTGACTCACTAGAGTCAAGCTAGAGGCTTGAAGTTTCGTACAGTGGTGTTATTGACTCACTAGATAGTCTGTTGAAAATTATGTCCGTGCACTGGGCCATTATCACTATTTGTATTTTATATGAAATCCAGACTTTAAAAACTCGTGACAGAGTTTTCAATTTGAAAAAGTGGTAGAAATTGTAAATTTTAGAACATACATATTTTTCTAAAGTAAGACTTCCATTAATCCCACGACTGTACTCTAAAATAGGTAAGTCAGTTACACTTTGTCATAAAATGTGTTACAGAACGGAACAATTTTTAAACATTAAAGTCATTACTCCACCGTATTATGACACTAGATTCAGTAGTACTGCACTCAAACACATTTGAGCATCTGATACACAGTTTCATAAAACTGTATTACAAGCTGTTCTGCTTAAAATTTATAAATCAGCTAGCCAAGGATCAATCTTACCTTCATTTAAACCCAACAGATTGAACGGAAGGCTTTGAATAGCTACTTCAGAAGCACCAAGTTTCGCTTCAGCAGGAGTTGCGTAAAAACGAGTTGTGTGACAACGAAATTGTAGATGAGGAATATAAACCTGTCAACCGAAATTAGTTGGATACTAGTGATTAATAAATATAATAGGTTAAAAAGAACATAATTTTGATTTTTAATTCATATCGTGAAAATAAAACTAGTTAACCTCAAAGCTTTCTGATTAACCTAGAGAACCTTGAATACTTTTTCTTGAATAAATAATTATTTTATTATAGCTTGACTCCACACAGTATTTTTGATACAAGTATGAAATTTTCAGCATGTGATATCGGTAGCCCAAATTTTGCAGGCCGACCATTGATATCGGGTGTGCGTCGGCCGGGGATCGAACCACGGACCATGTGCATGGTCGGCGAGCGTCTTAACCGCTGTACCACCGACGCACAAATGATCAAATGATAAATGAAACAGTATACAGTGTCATTGAATCATTAGCATCCCTTTGTCTGAAAATTACACTTCAGAGGACATTCAATACCAACAGATTTATCCCCATCTTGAAAGTTGAAACAGGAATGACTGAAGATAAAAATAATTTCTATCCCGACTCAATAGCTGAATCTCAAATGTGTTCATCATAAAAGCCAAGATGAAACCGACTCCAAGTGTTCTCAATGAGACAAAACACATTTCAAGCACTAATTAACTATCCAGCAACCATTATGCGTAAATTTTATTTTGATAAAGTCTCATAGTGTTACACAGTAATATTTACTGATGACATTTCGAGCACAATTTATTGCCGCTCATAATCATCAAATTCCAAGCGATGAAAAATAATGGAATTATATATAATGAAGTTAGAAAGTTGTGTGAGTACCTTGATATGATTATGAGCGATAAATTGTGCTCAAAATGTCATCAGTAAATATTACTGTGTAACACTATGAGACTTTTGCAATTAATAGTGTTCTCTGAGCTGATTGGTTTTGGTTGCGGAGCTTTCGTCATCCTTCTGGACAACATCTTCAGCGCAATATTTAGCATAAAGTGAAATGATTTAAATTTCTTCATGAGTGATATAACTGCGTCTCCCGGTAACCATCTTTACATATGTATTGACCATTTCCTATTGACTTGGACGACGAAAGCTCTGCAACCAAACCAACCAGCTCAGAGAACACTATTAATTGCAAATCATCCACCTGAGCTACAAATCTTCTCTATTACTATGAGACTTTATCAAAATAATTTTTACCCCTTAATAGAATTATACTCTACCACAGTGCAAAGTTCTATTCTTATCCAACAACCGATTGCATACCTGTACAGTTGGCAGTAAGTCACACTTATCCACTGAAGGTTAATACTATTACCTAGTTGACGAAATCTCGGTAAGTGGAATGAAGTTCAAACCCATAACCCAGAAAGTTACAGCTTGACAAATACCAGCCCTACATAGTCCAGAATACTATCTTAGTTATACTAAGTTATCTTGGTTAAACATCTCATTCGAGTAATAATGATTAGCACAGTTGAACTAATGAAAGTACAGTTTCACTGTGACACTTTACAAGTCGGCTTACCACATAATCTACTAATAGCGTTGAAGACTGAGGGAGCTAAGTAATTTAATTCGTATATTTATATATACTTTAATAGATATATCATTCACAAATTTGTTTTGTTTTTTCTTACATAACCTTTGATATTACTAACCAGTTTTTCCAAAGGGTATCTAGTTAATCCGTTCAAATATGTTAATCTTATTCTACAGATAATGTCGAAATGTATTTTTTATTTGGCTTTCTGTTCAGTTTTATCTAAAGCGTTATAATACACAACAACGAAAATCAATAATTTGTGCATTTTGTCACGTGTCTATGATATATATATATATATATAAGTTCTCTGAGCGAATATTTCGGTCATCACTGTTTCTAATTTAATAAGCAAAGTATTTCATCAAATGAAAACATTCTACTTCTTAATATGTAAATTATAACTTTAGCTAGAATCTAATAAGAAAGTACACTGAGAATTTTATACGCTTGACTTTCTTACAAGTATATATATATATATATATATATATACATGAGTGACTTAGTGTTACATGGTGTATTATTCCACTTTTTTAGAAACCGTATTTTTCAAAATTAATATTTTAACCATAAATTGAAAATTTCAAAATTGATATCCTATGTCCAGTTAATGATTATATGAATGAATGGTGAAACAGGATATGTCTGTATGTATGTGTGAGATACTTTGAATGAAAGAATTCAGCTTACTAACAATCTGAAAGTTGATATCACTGATATTCTCTTCACTCTAGATATATATGATAGTAATTTAGTGACTTTTGCTGAATGCATGATCATACCCTGTTGTAAAACTCTCATATATAATATAAAACTATATGCCTACTGATTGGAAGAAAAGCTATCTTGTCAAGCTATAAAAGAAGGGAGACTTATGCCTCTGCAAACCTGGCACGGAATCATGCTCTTTTCCACGCCAAGTACTAAGTCGCATCATCTTGGAGAGAATAAAAGATGCACTGGATACAGAACTCCGTTCCCCACTGGGAACAAGCTGGATTCAGGAAAGACAAATCATTTGCTGATCAAATTTCAACTGTACGCATCGTCATCGAAGACAGCATGGAATGGCAGTTAAAATCTCACCTCATCTTCATTGATTTCGAGAAGGCCTTCGACAGCGTAGACCGAGAAGTAATTTGGAAACTGCTTCAACATCATGGTTTGCAGTGCCCAAGTCTTTATCAACCTCATTCAACAGCTGTATGAGAATGGCACGTGTCAGGTGATCCACAACGGAAAACTCAGTGAGGCGTTTGAAGTGCATACAGGAGTAAGACAAGGCTAGCTGCCTATTATCACCAATGATATTGCTAATTGTGGTGGACTGGATTATGCGTCAGACTGTGCGTGGGGAATGAGAAGACAGGTATACTTTGGACTGATGAGAAGGCTCTAGAAGATCTGGATTCCGCAGATGATTTATATTTAGTGTCACACAAACTCGACGACTTACAGGCGAAAACCAACAAACCGGCTGAAGAAGGCGGCAGAGAAGGCAGGACTCCAGGTGAATATAGAGAAGACGGAGGTGATGAAGAAAACCAACCACTATAAACAGCAACAGCAGCCAGCACCAATCACCATCAAAGGGAGAGATTTGTCAGCGGTTACTTCCCTCACTTATCTGACTAGGAATCATAGTTTCAACTACGGGGGGAACAGATGAAGATATCGAAGCCAACCAGTCAAAATCGGAAAGGCAACATACGCCTTCATCAACCCGAAACCAGTTTCGAAATCTTCTACTTCACTCAGCCAGCATAAACAACAAGATTCGGATTTTCAACACAAATGTTAAGTCAGTCAACTCCTCTATACGGGTCAGAAACTTGCACTGTGCTCGCGTCATGAAAAACATTTCCGACAAGCTAATGCAGACTTTTATCAACAGATGCCACCTTCGCTGGCTGGCTCCATACTGAAGGTCAAATGGCCGGCTGGCCAGAAATAACTAGCAACACGAAACTCTGGCTGGCTGTGAACAAACCAACCGAACAAGAGCCGATTGCTCAATAAATATGTAGGAGGAAATGGAGATGAATCGGGCATACACTGAGGAGGCCGCTGAATGACATCGTGTGCAATGCAGGCTATCGCTCGGCTGGAATCCCAATGAGAAGCGACGAGTAGGTGGTCGGTGCGAAAGTGACATGGAGGAGATGGTGTGAGTTGGAGGAAATGAGAGATGATGGTTAATCGTGGACCCAACTGAAGCGGACAGCACCAAATAGAACAAAGTGGAGATGTGTTGCTGAAGCGGTATGTTCCATTCGGAACCCAAGGGAATAATAATTTGTCAAAACGTGGTACATTTCACATAAATTGGTCTATTCCTAAGTGCTGCTATCTGTAGTAATGTTCTGGGATAAACATGTCTTGAGACTAATTCTATCCACACAGAAGTCAGCTTTATTAATCAATGTCATAACGTCTACAGTATAGTTATATTGCTAATTAATTCGATAATCGATTGGCTGACAATAAAATGTCTCTACAAAGTTACAAAGTAACAACTTTCAGCTAATTGTGTTAATTCTATCAGCACTGCTTCCCTTCTGAGATTTCTTTTCTCTATAAACCTTTTTACTTTAAATCCAACACGTTAGTGATCAAATCATTATTTTGCTCGAAAAAGATCAAGTGGAAAATATTGTCATTTCAAGTGACACATTTTTGACTTCACTATGATTTGCATTTAAATGAAAGGTAGTGTGTAAAATTCCCTGTTTATAGGAATGTTTTCATTGTGTGTCAGTTTTTCTCCTTTATATAAGAATACATTTCAGGTTGATAAAGCAGAATGGTCTAAATTATCATAATATAGAAGGATTTAACACATTGAATGAAACTTTGCCTGTAGATTGGAATTCAATAATAGAACTGCTGGTAGTTGTTTCCGACTGTGGAAAAACGTGAGATCTCTAAAGAATCTACCTACTCTGTCGATGTTCATTACATATATAAGAGATATTCAATAAACGACAGAATGCCAGAAACTGAACACTTTCACATGGGAGATTGTAAACAGAAATGAAACCTTAACTGTGCGTCGGTGGCACAGTGGTTAGGACTCTCGCCAACCATGCACATGGTCCGGGGTTCGATCCCCTGCCGACGCACACCTGATATCTATGGTCGGCCTGCAAAATTTGGGCTACCGATATCACATGCTGAAAATTCCATACCTGTACCAAAAATACAGTGTGGAATCAAGCTGTAATCAAAAATAATAAAAAAATAAATCAAACGGTTCTGTATTCGTGCCATATCAAATACAAGAAAAATCTTTCTAAGATTATCTCTCTGGGTAACACAGAAAATCACAGAAAATTGGGTCTACTAGAGGGACTGAAAATATACGGTAACTTATTACAGTAGAAGGAGTGGAATAATTTTATGCAGACCATAGCAACTCATTTAAAAAAAGTTTAATTCAAAGGTGAATCTTACCTGTCCAACAAATAGTTGCACTTTATTTCCTGTCGTTGGATCAATGAAATCAATTGGGATTGCATTGTATATCGGAGAACCAAAACCATCTCGACGACATAAGTCATTTAGAATCTAATTAAAAGGAAAATAACCTCTACCATCAAGTATTCATCTCATCTATGAGCACAATGTTTCACAACAAAAAAAGACAAATTCATAAAATCAGCATATGCGTTAGGGCAAATTTTCACCTGTTCATGTAAGTAGATTTCTATATATATAAAGCTGATATGCATAAAGCGTAGATGATAGCGAAAAAGAAATGGTTAGGCTGTTACCAACATTCAGCATAAACACATGCTCATACACACGTCTACACATACAAACAGATACACACACACACACACGCAAACTGGTGAATATGCACATATCTATTCAAATGACACACAGAATTTTGTACAATATGATGCTTTTAGACCAACCTCTAAAGAGACCAATGGATTCAACTGACGTTGCTGTAATTTCTAAGATAAAAGTAAATAGGAAGAAGAGGCATTAGAATAAGGAAAAAGAGGACTGGGATTATATATATATGATGAAAGTAATCACTGAATAATCACTGAATTTATTTTATTTTTTAATGAGCGTAAATATCAAGCATAAATCGTCTAATTAACCAATTCCTTTACAGAGAAATCATTAAGGAAAGCGTTTTCTTTTTTTTTTTGTAAATTAGCCTTCAGAATAATTTTTTACACAGTGCACTAATAATCAAAAGGATCATGGTGTGTGTGTATAAGCCGAATAGGGGGATAGATTAGGAGGAAATCTGAAAATTTCTAATTGATTTGTCACTTTCTTTCTGTCTCTAATAAATAAATCACACACGCACACGTGCACACACACCTTTAACCATGATCAAATTGGAATCAAGTTATTAAAATTTACTTCCTAAGACACAGGGAATGAAAATAGTGTCATAGGATTCATCCATAGGATACCGAGAATCTCTTCACCGAGTTAGAACTGACAGTGTGATACATATTACCAACTTATTCGCACAGAGAGAATTATTAGTGAACCAGTAATTGACTGACTGACTGGTTTCAACGTAGAACTTTGCACCGATGTGCAGCAGTTCGAGTTGCCACACTCCACTTAGTACACAAAGCAAGAGAAGTAAGTAAAAAGAGATTCAAAATAGAGACAGAGATATGAGGCGAAAAGAATAGTAATTTCGAAGAACAATATAGTTTTATTAGATATTATAAGTCACAAGGAGTGGATGCATCTGCGTCACCATTGAGAACGATTTTGAGCCATATCACCAATTGTCTCCAGCCATTGGTTTTTACCGTCCAACCACCAGGAAGTCTACATCTTCCTACGTGGCTGATCAACTAACTGTTGTGGATTTCATTGACTGATGAAGCCATGTTTTGATCACCACTGGCTCTGATCCAACCTGACTCTATGTCAGCTAACATTGCCCGTCGTGGAAGGCGATGGAAAGGCATGCACACGTAACAAATGTCCTAAACATCTCAATCAATATAACTTCACAGCCTCGTCTATTAATTTTCCCTCCTTACCTAGCGCTCGACGACTAACCTCAATATTACTCACCCCATTATACCACTTCACACGGAAGATAGAACGTGGACACCTATGATCAAAGATAGCTAGCTAGTCTTTTCATGTATTCTACTTTCAATAGCCACGCCTTAAAAGAGAACAGAGCAGACTGCTGAGCAGTATACACGCCCTTTGGTCGTCAGCCAGATATCATGTCTACGCCAGAGACTGGCATATGCCAAATGAGCCTTCTGTATCCGTGCTGAGATTTCGTCAGCGACCAACCAGCCAACGTTGGCTGATGCAACTTTCCAATATGTGAAGTGGTCAACACGCTCTAGCATTTCAGTCCCTATTTCTAAGCTAGGAGTCAATTCAGTCCAGTCCTGTAGCATCATCTTACATTTGACAGCAGGAGCGAATCGTATGCCAAACATTCGAAGATTACTGCCTGTCAAGGTGTTCAGAAGACTAGCATCTTCACTTAGAAGGACCATATCATCTGTATATTCTAAGTCAACGAGATTATTCCCTGATAACAAGTCAATCACTGAGTCGCTGAAGTGAGTTAGGGTTAATTCCATTAGTACATCTATGATGAAATTAAACAGAAATGGGGACAGTAGGCATTGAACTGGTAACATATACTGTTAGCCTTGATTTAGTAAAAAGTGAAGCCTGAAACCTTAAACCTTCTGTACCAAATTCTTCAGCAAATAGCAATTAGAATATCTTTGACACATGAAAATTATTCTAAGAAATGTTGCTACTTTGCATAATCAAAAGACGGATGGACATATATAGGATGGGATGTAGTCATGAATAAATGCATAGGTCGCTAATATTTTTCATTGGTTAGTGGGATGAAAGTGAATAAATATGACATTATAATAGACAGACAAACAGGCAGCATCGTTTCAACAACAGGCGTCATGGACAGGATGTCAAATTTAGGGTCTCAAATGCTAGACAGGCGTTCATTAATCTGAAATCAGCATGGAAGTCTATCATACTCAGCACAAAGAACAAGATTTTAATTTTTCAGCACGAATGTTAAGTCATCCAGTGCTTTTATATGATTTAGAGACTTGGAGCACGCGTCACAAAGAGCACTTCCAACAGGCTATTGCAAACTTTTATCAATAGCTGCCTTTTCTGGCCAGAAAGGATTAGCAACAAGAAACTCTGTGAATGAACAAATCAAGAAACTATTGATCAACTAATATGCAGAAGGAAATGGAGACCGTTGGCTGACATTGCGCGCCGGGCATTCGAGTGGAACCCGAGTGGGAAACGACGAGTTGGGCGTGTGTCTGACGGTGATATGGAAGAGATCGTATGAGAAGGAGATGAAAGCTCATGGGGAATCGTGAAGCCATTTAAAGAAGACTAAAGAGAAAAGGATGAAATGGAGATCAACTGTCGAAGACCCATGTTCCACTTGGAGCCTAATAATATGCCAGTCAGATATATTAAAGACGGAAGAAAGAAAAAACTGATGATTGTTATAAAAGTATTTTCACCAACTTTAAAAATGATAGTGAATACATAAAACTGAGTTAATGTGATCAATTTTCAGATGGATTATTTGTACTTCAAGAAATACAGTGGATAAAAATGTAGCTTCAATGGTCACCTTTCATGAAGTAAATCTGTGATTGAGACACAACAGTAACAAAATATTACACTTGAAAAATGGTTATATATCTATACTGATAGGATCTTATGTACAGTGTTTATTAGTGATAGTACAGCTAAACAAATTACATCTGTCCACTTTTGTTCACTGCCTGGTTAACTTTATATTCATATAATACATCAGTATGGAATTGGATATCTGTAAAACATTAGAAAATGTACAGGACGATGGTAGGAATGTCTAAAGCAATAGGACACCATACACATTCTTCTGATAATGCAAGAATATCATAAAGTGATACATTTTAATAACAAAGTTTTTCCAGTTATTTCTGTAGGGAATATCCGCTAAGAAAAGGCTTTATAGTTATGAGGTATCCATGACAGTTATGACAGTCTTCATAAAGTTTCAAAAGTAAATTTACCTTGCATCGCTTTAATTGATATTTGATGTCAATGAGAAAAGCAGGTTGCGAACATTATGTGGCTTAAATCTCATTTGAAAAAAAAACAGCGAATACGTTTGAAGTACTAAATGGGCTGAACTATGTTAACAAGAGATTAAATTCTAGATTCTAATAGGCTTATATACAACAAAGATGGTTAAGATTTACAAATTATCAGAGATCAAAACGGTAACTGTAGTTACACTCAGAACTTATAACAGGCGAATAAATACGCTGAATTCTCTAATGTGGATGTTACTGTTATACTCTTCATCTTGTTGTTATCATTATTGTAAAGGTGAACAATTTTGCATCTGAGATAATGACTCACTGAGATAAATCGTTCAACACTGTATGTATGTATGTACTCACCTGATTAAAGAATATGCTTCATAGCCAGGCATTAATATGCTTACACAACATTATGTACATACGAGTTGATCACGGATTGATATCAGTTGGAGAATCATTGAAAACCAGGGAGTACTGGACAGCTGTTCATCCTAGTTTGAGAATCATCGGCAGTACGCACGCACTGAGGTTCGAACCCAGGACCTTCTAGTTACAAGGCAAGCAAGCTCATATACCATTCAGCCACTGGGAACCGATTCATTGGCCAGCCCATGAATTCTAACTTCTACCAATTCGTGATTTAGCGCGACTGGCACCAACCAATGTCGTCGGTGGGACATCCATCCTCACACATTTGACTGGATGGATCTCACTGGTCACGACTTCTCACTGTGTTCGAACCCCAGTGGGTGCGTACTGCCGATGATTCCCAAACTAGGATGAAACAGCAGCTGTCCAGTACTCCCTGGTTTTCAATGGTTCTCTAACTGATATCAATCCGTGATCAACTCGTAAACACAAAACTAATCCTTACAAACCAACTATAGAATATATACGTACATAAATATGTTTATATATCATTAGTGAGAGGAATGTGATTACAATTCAAAAGAAAATCACAAAAACACACACACACAAATAATCGGAAGATTCAAGTTAGGTAATATAAAAGAATGAAATTAGGGATAAAGGTGTAATTCCACCCTTGAATTTTATCACATAGCACTGATCCAGTTCATTTTTGTCTCCGTCGGTATAGCACAAATATAATCAATCTTTGTGTTAGATAATTAAATACAGCTATGATAGAAAATGGTAGTAATAATAATAATAATTATCATTATTATTATTATTATTATGATAAAGTAGCAGTATTAGTAGTAAAAACGATTGATTATTTTATATGATTAGCATACAAATTATAATGAGCTAGCATCATGAATATTGTTATTATCATTACTGTTAATATTATCAGCATTATTAATATTCTCTTCGATGGTTTTAGACTTTGATTCTATCTGCAGATAATGATGCAGATAGTTGTGAGTATAGTTCGTCTATTTTTTGAAAAATATTTTTTTATTATTATTTATAGTGTATATTCATTTATGCATAGTGTTATTTGGTGGATAAACTTACGAAATGATCTGACAGAAGACATTGATGTTTAGCCTTGCCTCAAATTATTCACACAAGATAGGGAAGGAATCAAATGTAAAACAAAAAAGTACATTATATATGTTGAGTTATATGCATTTTATTGTATTATAAAAATATATATATATGCGCTGTTTACCTGTTAAACGATTAAGAAATATATTGAATATATGCATGAATTCATAATTATTTACTCACTCACCTGTTGAATATGTTAATGAAATGATAAACCTACTTTGGTAAGCTAACATTGTAGAAAAACCGCTTTCAAAATACACACATTATAAGTATCTGTCACCGTAAGGAAGTTAAACTTATTCACTCAGGTTTGTTGACTTTAGACAGCTGTAGACAAT